CGTCAACGGGATGGGTATGGGGTCCACTACCGTCCACGGGATGGGTATGGGGGGTCCACTACCGTCCACGGGATGGGTATGGGGTCCACTACCCCCCAATGGATGGGTATGGGATCCACTACCCCCACTGGATGGGTATGGGATCCACTATCCCCCACTGGATGGGTATGGGATCCACTACCCCCCACTGGATGGGTATGGGGGTCCACTACCGTCCACGGGATGGGTATGGGGGTCCACTACCGTCCACGGGATGGGTATGGGGGTCCACTACCGTCCACGGGATGGGTATGGGGGGTCCACTACCGTCCACGGGAAGGGTATGGGGGTCCACTACCGTCCACGGGATGGGTATGGGGGGTCCACTACCGTCCACGGGATGGGTATGGGGGTCCACTACCGTCAACGGGATGGGTATGGGGTCCACTACCGTCCACGGGATGGGTATGGGGGGTCCACTACCGTCCACGGGATGGGTATGGGGTCCACTACCCCCCAATGGATGGGTATGGGATCCACTACCCCCACTGGATGGGTATGGGATCCACTACCCCCCACTGGATGGGTATGGGATCCACTACCCCCCACTGGATGGGTATGGGGGTCCACTACCGTCCACGGGATGGGTATGGGGGTCCACTACCGTCCACGGGATGGGTATGGGGGTCCACTACCGTCCACGGGATGGGTATGGGGGGTCCACTACCGTCCACGGGAAGGGTATGGGGGTCCACTACCGTCCACGGGATGGGTATGGGGGTCCACTACCGTCCACGGGATGGGTATGGGGGTACACTACCTCCCACGGGATGGGTATGGGGGTCCACTACCGTCCACGGGAAGGGTATGGGGGTCCACTACCGTCCACGGGATGGGTATGGGGTCCACTACCGTCCACGGGAAGGGTATGGGGGTCCACTACCGTCCACGGGATGGGTATGGGGGTACACTACCGTCCACGGGATGGGTATGGGGGTCCACTACCGTCCACGGGATGGGTATGGGGGTCCACTACCGTCCACGGGATGGGTATGGGGGTCCACTACCGTCCACGGGAAGGGTATGGGGGTCCACTACCGTCCACGGGATGGGTATGGGGGTCCACTACCGTCCACGGGAAGGGTATGGGGGTACACTACCTCCCACAGGATGGGTATGGGGGTCCACTACCGTCCACGGGAAGGGTATGGGGGGTCCACTACCGTCCACGGGAAGGGTATGGGGTCCACTACCGTCCACGGGAAGGGTATGGGGGTACACTACCTCCCACAGGATGGGTATGGGGCGCATAGTAAATGAACAACAGCAAAATCAGTGTAAGACACATATAAAAATGTTACCAGATTTCATACAAAACCTGACTTGGACCTACGAAAGGAAACAACATAACAACCTTTAAGTTCCTCTTAAGAGGAACTTAAAGTGTTATAGACAACTTTAGCGACCAAGAAGTACGAGAAACACAACTGCTCGACGCCTCAGAGTCAACTAGTCCTCGTGGCGCAGTGGTAAAACACTCTCCCAGCTCTTGGCGAACACTTTAGCCTGGATTCGTATCCTGGTCGGGGAGGATTGACTGGGCGCCAATCTTTAATTAACTGTAGCTTCTGTTCACCAAGCAGTGAATGGGTACCTGGTTGTTAAACGATTTGGCGGGTCGTATTCCGGGGAACATAGGGTTAAGGACCTGCCCTGAACACTAAACGTGCTGGTGGCTGTACAAGAATGTGAGAACTCTTATATATATATATATATATATATATATATATATATATATATATATATATATATATATATATATATATATATATATATAGCTAGATGGGGGAATGCAACTGTTCCTGGGTCTCTCCCCACACTCACCATAGGTCTTTCCTCCGCCCTCTTCCAACATCTTCCCCTCTCTGCCCTTCTCTTCCCCCCTCTCCTTTCCTCTCTCCACCCTCGCCTCTCTCATAAAATATTATATTACGAAGCACTGAAAAACTGCTAAGTAACTCCCTGGAAAACACAACCTCTATTTCAGACTTGACTGTATGAAAGCCGCAGGAGGGGTCGTTATAGGTGCTGATATTTCTTAAAGTGTGGCACTGGAGGCCAACTCCAACAGGCTTATGACATTCCCATACTCACCAGTGTGTTACTAGGGCACAGGTTACTTGAATTGGTACACGTTACCAGCGCTTGTAAAGACTAGTGACTTACCGGAGACCGATCAAAGTTGTTACATAATAACTTACCCAGATCAATAGTGAACATTAAGAATAACAGTATACTGTTACAATAACATCTGATGGACGCTTAAAACCTTAAAATGTTCTGCGAAGAACAAGCCCAGAGTCCTTAAACGAGAGCCCCGAACACCAGGAGACGCTTGTCCAAGTTGAAGGTAAACCAACTTTTAAGAAACTACGTTAACGTTATAATGCTGAAGAAAAAACTAAACTGGAGATCATATTGTAGCATGCTTTTGCGCGGCGCCGAGCAGGTAAAAACTTAGTATTGGGGGGAGAAACGCCCCCCAACACCTCTACCTCCCGGCGGCCGCGCTCCCACAGCCCCCCCACTGATCAATAGAGGTATTTTCGTCAGCAGGAAACTGATAAGATAGTGACCAGCGAGGGGCTAAAAGACCCTTCCTTATCAGGCAGAAATACCGAGGCTGTCGAGGAGGCCATTGTGTCCTACACACCAGACAATGCCTCTAGTGAGTCTGGCAACTTCTTCACACACACACACACACACACACACACACACACACACACACACACACACACACACACACACACACACACACACACACACACCTTCCCTCCCTTCTCTTATGCCTTGTCCTTATGACCCATCCAAATGCTTTGTTGTGGCTTAGTCCTAAATTTTTAAATTTTGCCCCGAGGGGCGAGTTTATTGGGCAGCGCCACTCATCCTGTGAGTGGACACACCGCCATAGTGACAGTATTGGGCAGCGCCACTCATCTTGTGAGTGGACACACCGCCATAGTGACAGTATTGGGCAGCGCCACTCATCTTGTGAGTGAACATACCGCCATAGTGACAGTATTGGGCAGCGCCACTCATCCTGTGAGTGGACACACCGCCATAGTGACAGTATTGGGCAGCGCCACTCATCTTGTGAGTGAACATACCGCCATAGTGACAGTATTGGGCAGCGCCACTCATCCTGTGAGTGGACACACCGCCATAGCAGAATGTACAACACTCCCCAATAGGAAGAAAACCCGCTGGGTTGTTCATCCTGTCATGATTGTCTTCCATTCAATTTGTTTTTACTGCAATACTACTACCCCTACCCCTACTACTACTACTACTACTACCCCGACTACTACTACTACTACTACTATTACTAATGATAATAATAATAATGACCGGAACAGTCAAATATCATACGTCCCAATATTCAGACGCCACCAAAGGTAAGTGTACTTACCAGTACCTCACAAGACAGTCAGATGGACTACATTCCTTACACCCACCTACAGTGTGCTAGCAAGTACTTACAAGTCTGTAGACACACGCACGGCCTCATACACGCAGCTCCCACTAGGCTGCACTGGAGAAAGAGAGAAAGAGGACAGGTTAATCAACAAATCCCTCACACCCTCAGCTACACAACCCTTCCCTTCCCCCCCCCCCCTACACACACACGCTATAAACTACAAACACCTCAACGTCTCCAGCCAAATCCACACAGTATAAAAATGAGAGACGTCTCCTGGTTGTAAATACCTCACGCCCACACGGGGCAAAAATTACACGCGTCCCCCCACATACATGTTCTAAAATCGTGCCCCATCGACTGCCTCTTGTGGGGTGAGTGGTGAGGCGTGCCGGTGTTGCTGTAGCCGTCCACTGTACCTCAACACTGGTGTGTTGCTGCAGCCGTCCACTGTACCTCAACACTGGTGTGTTGCAGCAGCCGTCCACTGTACCTCAACACTGGTGTGTTGCTGCAGCCGTCCACTGTACCACAACACTGGTGTGTTGCAGCAGCCGTCCACTGTACCACAACACTGGTGTGTTGCAGCAGCCGTCCACTGTACCACAACACTGGTGTGTTGCAGCAGCCGTCCACTGTACCACAACACTGGTGTGTTACAACAGCCGTCCACTGTACCACAACACTGGTGTGTTACAACAGCCGTCCACTGTACCACAACACTGGTGTGTTACAGCAGCCGTCCACTGTACCACAACACTGGTGTGTTACAACAGCCGTCCACTGTACCTCAACACTGGTGTGTTGCTGCAGCCGTCCACTGTACCTCAACACTGGTGTGTTGCAGCAGCCGTCCACTGTACCTCAACACTGGTGTGTTGCTGCAGCCGTCCACTGTACCACAACACTGGTGTGTTGCAGCAGCCGTCCACTGTACCACAACACTGGTGTGTTGCAGCAGCCGTCCACTGTACCACAACACTGGTGTGTTGCAGCAACCGTCCACTGTACCACACCACAATACCACAGGACGTCCAGCTGGAGCCACATCTGTAACTAGACGAGGAATTAATTGTCTGAATGTGGCCTTGAGCCTCGCTTCTGATTGTCTGGAGGTTCCCGAGCCACGTATTAGGGAGTGAATAGAACAGTCAGGTATTAGGAATGAATATACCCGTCATAGGAAATGTATATGTTTATCTCTCAGAATGTTCAGTAATATGTTTATTGTTTGTGATGTGTGTATATGTATGTATTAACACGATGTACTGAACGGGATGAGAATAGCTTGAGCTACCTCATCCCTTTGTGTATTTTACCTCAATAAACTTATTTCAATTTCAATTTCAATACCCGTCAGGTATGGTCAGTGAACAGGCGGTATTGGGGAGTGAATAGGCCAGTCAGGAAGTAAAGCAGTGAAAGGGAGAGTCAGCCAAATGGGGTTGAGTGCAGAGTCGTGTCGACCTGGTGAGAAGGGCGGCGTTCACGGGCTGGGGGGCAGGCAACATCCCGGGGAAGGTGCCCAGGCGCAAATAAAATATTAGGACAACCTCTCTAAGGAACTGAAGGGGCAGGCCAGGGGTGGGTACTGGGTCGAGGGCCAGGGGCGGAGAGACGGTGGGCGGGTACTGGGTCGAGGGCCAGGGGTGGAGAGACTGTGGGCGGGTACTGGGTCGAGGGCCAGGGGCGGAGAGACGGTGGGCGGGTACTGGGTCGAGGGCCAGGGGCGGAGAGACGGTGGGCGGGTACTGGGTCGAGGGCCAGGGGCGGAGAGACGGTGGGCGGGTACTGGGTCGAGGGCCAGGGGCGGAGAGACGGTGGGCGGGTACTGGGTCGAGGGCCAGGGGCGGAGAGACTGTGGGCGGGTACTGGGTCGAGGGCCAGGGGTGGAGAGACTGTGGGCGGGTACTGGGTCGAGGGCCAGGGGGGGGGGAGACGGTGGGCGGGTACTGGGTCGAGGGCCAGGGGCAGAGAGACGGTGGGCGGGTACTGGGTCGAGGGCCAGGGGCGGAGAGACGGTGGGCGGGTACTGGGTCGAGGGGCCAGGGGCGGAGAGACGGTGGGCGGGTACTGGGTCGAGGGGCCAGGGGCGGAGAGACAGTGGGCGGGTACTGGGTCGAGGGCCAGGGGTGGAGAGACGGTGGGCGGGTACTGGGTCGAGGGGCCAGGGATGGAGAGACGGTGGGCGGGTACTGGGTCGAGGGCCAGGGGTGGAGAGACGGTGGGCGGGTACTGGGTCGAGGGCCAGGGGTGGAGAGACGGTGGGCGGGTACTGGGTCGAGGGGCCAGGGGTGGAGAGACAGTGGGCGGGTACTGGGTCGAGGGCCAGGGATGGAGAGACAGTGGGCGGGTACTGGGTCGAGGGCCATGGGTGGAGAGACGGTGGGCGGGTACTGGGTCGAGGGCCAGGGGTGCAGAGACGGTGGGCGGGTACTGGGTCGAGGGCCAGGGGTGGAGAGACGGTGGGCGGGTACTGGGTCGAGTGTTGCCAGTCGCTGGAGCACAT